GTGGGGGGGGGGGGGGGGGGGGGGGGGGGGGGTTATGAGACAGGGAACTTTGCTTGCTAAACAGCTTTACTTTTCTATGACACATATTATGACACATATGATATCAAGTGAAAATGTTCCAAAATAAATAGATGTTATAATACAACAGTATGGTATAGAGATAAACTACTGTTGGTTGGTCTGGGAAACCGTTACACTTGAAACTGAAAGTTACGTGCAAAATTTGGTCGGTTATAAGTTTACTGTAGTGGAGAACACCGTACCAGTCGCATCGATTGTTATACAAAAGCACATAGACATTCACCCAATTTAAATAAGTACAAGAAGTGCAACATTTTACCTCACATTCTGGATGTTATAGTCTGGCATCAAACAAAACACGATGATAAAAACGTTTCAGTTTGTTTACAAATTTCAGCAAATATGGCGTCTGCACGAACCACATTGGATATGCACAGTTTCGTATAATTAAATGTTTGTCACCTGATTTCTCAAATATAACGTTAACAATCAAAAGTCGAAACAATCATGACTATTGAATGTTTGATGCACTTTAACGGTTAAAGATTAAAAAATATTTTAGAAAGATACGAAAATAATGAGAGCACAAAAACTTTGGCGCCAAGAACGAATGTCAACAACACCAAAAGGAGATGGGAATCGTTTTCTAAATGTAAGATTTTATGATGCTGCAATGGTCGCGATTGCTGTAATTTTTTGTTGTTTCCAAGTACTTGGTTTATTCAATTAATATCAGGTCACCCGTATCATCTTCTATATTCGTGATACAGAAAATAATATGACTTATCTGTGTTGCCGAAAGAATTTCATGCAGCTAGGTGTATACACAGGGGCTCGGTTTCGTGTGACGATCTAAATCGGAGATTTATAACGATAGATATATCGTTATAAATCTCTGATTTAGATAGAGTTCCTACAGGAATTAGGTTTCGGGATACTTTCGGTTAATATTAAATCTTTACACATCAGTAAATAACAGCAACACTTTTTACACATTCTAAAACTTCGGTACCCTCAATTTTTATAAGGTTTTAGAATGTGTATAAACACCGAATAAAAATTATTACTGGTGTGTATAGGTTTATAATTTACCGAAAGTACCTCGAAACCGAGCCCCTTAACTATACAGTAGTGTTGGGAATCACTTCAAAATCTACAAAATCTCTGATCAATCATCTCTTTTCTCCAAATGATTGATTAATGATCGATCATTAAATGAAATGAAAAGAGGAGAAGTCATCAAATTGGGTAAAATATGGAGTATTCTCTTCAACTTCTGATCTCAATAACTTGTTATGAAGTTGAAAGTTTTCATGCTGTAAGTGAAGCATGATCGATCATAGAAAATCATGATCAATTAATCATAGTCGGACATAAAATTACTGATCATCGATTAAATTGATTAATCGGAATAACACTATAATTGAATCTGCATATCTTGTCAACCCCTGTACAAATATTATTAATTACGACAAAAAAAAATAAGGGAGACATAGAAAAAATTAAATAAGACTATTAGCCACACAGCTAAACTGGACTAAAATGTATCTTTAGGGCAAAACAACATAAAACCACCATGGGCAAACTGGATTTAGGGTGAAATGACCTGACACCAGTTCAACTAGTTATAGTAAGGAGTACGTAGTGTGTTCAGTTACTGAACCCTTATCGCGTAATTGGCGATTAAACAAATTAGAGCAAAATTGAACTCCAACATGTTGAGTCTTTCATTTTACTTTGACAGTTAGTTGGCAATTATATATTTCCTTCACAATGACAACTGGAAAAACAACTTATTTTCTGCATGTATAGAGTCAACTAGGTGTTTATTTTTACTATCCCAAAAACAATGATGTCAACACTTGTACCTTTTTACCGAATGAAATTGAATTGAATTGGAACAAACTTGCAGTGTGCACCGAGAAATGTGAAAAATGTCAGAACATATATAAAATGTCAGAACATATATAAGTGCTCACAAAAACATGTCCTCCGGTGATACAATAATGTCAGACAAGGGCCCTAGCTTTCACCAATGCATGCTTGAGATTGTAAAATTAATTGTCTGCTTGTTATATATGAAATATTATTTTATTTTAGATGTTAGATGTTGCATTGTTAATGAATNAAACGGGGGGGGGGGGGGGGGGAAATCTTTAAAATTTGGAATTTTTTGAAGACATTTAGGAGAAAATTACACTATTTGCCTTTAAGTTTTTCTTAAAAAGCTATGAGCACATGCATACTGCTAACAACTTCAATTTTTTGTTTCAGTTGAATATGAGTTTGTGATCCAGACAAAAGCAATAGAAACTACAAGCAAGAACCAGGCTTCCTCCATACTAGCCAGACAAAACCTTGTGCTTAGAGCAATGGCAGGTTTGTATACAAATTTGATAAAGACATGGTGTATAACTGGTTATAAGCATGGGCAATTGAAGGTGATCTATTTCATTGTTTGGAGCATCATTGAAGAAATTTGGTTAGCTAGTAAAACATTAGGATTACCAGGGCAATTTTCAATAAATCAGGACAAATCTGGATGCATTTGTCCCATAAAACACTGGCTATGTAATGGAAGGATGAATCTATCCCATTAAAACACTGGCTAGGTAATGTAAGGATGAATCTCCCATCAAAACACTGACTAGGTAATGGAAGGATGAATCTGTCTCATAAAACACTGGCTAGGAAATAAAAGGATGAATATGTCTCATAAAACACTGGCTATCCCATTAAACACTGGCTAGGTAATGGAAGGATGAATATGTCTCATAAAACACTGACTAGGTAATGGAAGGATGAATCTATCCCATTAAACACTGGCTAGGTAATGGAAGGATGAATCTATCCCATTAAAACACTGGCTAGGTAATGGAAGGATGAATCGATCTCATTAAACACTGACTAGGTAATGGAAGGATGAATATATCCCATTAAACACTGGCTAGGTAATGGAAGGATGAATATGTCCAATAAAACACTGGCTAGGTAAAGGAAGGATGAATTTGTCTCCAAAACATTGGCAAATAGTGTGGAGATACATGTATACATGTATCTGTTTAAAACACAGGCTTGGTTGTGGAAAAAACCTGGCAGATTAGTGACACCTGGATTAACAACTGTAGATAAATTTCTGTGCATTGCAATTATAGTGATAGTGATACATTGAATTGCATTATGCTGTTACTTAATTCACAGATTCATTTCTTTCCAGATGAGGATTTGGATATTGAAACATTAACAGCGTTGCTTGAGGATGATTCTGATGACGAGGAGATTCAACAGGAGACAAATAAATCAGACAAAAATCAAGGTAAGAAGTCCATTGTAGATATCCATTCAACCTATACTAGACTTTTTGAAGTTTGTTTGATTTCCCAGTAATGAGTATCAGAAAATGAAAAATTGAATATTTCTACTTTTGCATGTAGCCTAAAAATGAAAATATATAACTTTAAGAAAAACGGTTACGGTAAAATTATTTCATGAACTTTACTTTCAAATATTTTTGTTCATGACCAACAGATTCTAATGATGAATCTGACATAGCAACATTGGCAGCTTTTCTAGAAGATTCCGACAGTGATGAAGATGCCCAAGAAAGTGGAAAACCCTGTACTGCAAAAGGTGACGATGCTACACAATACAAATTGTGGTATAAAATACACTTAAAGGACAAAGTTGTAGCAATGTTCTTAACCAATAGAGTATATTTATGCTGTCCTGTATGTGGACATTTTACATAACAATTGAATGCTTGCTGAACTGGTCATTCTAATATATCTGTCCGGCCTAGTAAAACATTTTAAAACATCCCCTCCTAATAGGTCTTAAGTTTTCAAGAGAGCACCATCAAAAGATCTAATGTGGTTTATAATGCATAATATGTAGCCATTGCTTCCAATCACCTTTCTACAATAGAGTTTTCCTTTTGTGGGTGGGAGATACATTTTGCCTGGCAAAGCACTTTATTCAGCATCAATTGACATGATTTATTTCTGTACTAGGTGACGTTGAATCATCAAAGGACACCAATGGAAGCCAAACAAATGTACAGGAGAATGTGGCTGTCAACCCAACATCTCCCGTGCAGTCCGCTGAAAACATGAATGCCTTACAGAGTAAGATATGTTATCATCTTTTCAATAAGAAAATGTAATGTTTGTTTGTGTAATTATTCTTCGGGTGTGATGATATAGTGTAAACAGGCAAACATAAAATATGATTTGCTGTATTCCTTCAATTAGATTCTGCATGTGTAGATTTTTTTTTCTTTTTCTTTCAGATCAAATATTGATGATGCAAAAACAGATGGAACAAATGCAGAAATTGTTATTGCAACAACAGTCACCGAGTAGTCAAGGGGAAGTAACTCCAAATGCCAAATCAGTACCCAATCTGCCCAAAACGAAGCAAAGTCTTACAAGCAGTGTTCCTGGAAAGTCGTCTACAATTCATACAAGAGATAGTCCTGGTAATAAAGTATCCAGGTCGAGTTCTACAAACATTTTAGCAAGGAAGTCTCCTATATCTCAACTAAAAGAAAAACATGGTTCGAAAGAAATCAAGTCCACCCGATCACCACAACATAAGGCTGCCAAGATATCTTCATCATCTAATACCTCTAAACCGAAACAAACATCAAAGAAAGGTACATTTCTTATCAGCCTTACTTGACTAGATATACCATAACAGTGTCTGTCTGATATTTTTAGGGCTACAAGATGTAATCAAATACATGGGGTACAGTGATTTGTTTTGGTGAGTTTGTCATTCCCAAATACTGTAATATAAAAATTCATATATATATATTTTTCCAGAAAATTGGATAAGACTTATAATTGTCATAGATTGTAATAACACAATGGGAAACAAATTGACTTTCCTTTCATTAAAAGATGAAAAATACTGCTTGTGTATCGTTGCTGTGTTGAAATTTACTATTCAGGAGTAGATATAACATTCTTCTGGATTTTATTTAGAGTGATGGTCATAAAACATTTGAAACCTTTTGTAGAATCTTCAGAGCAGGAACACAACCCTTTTTTTGGCGAGTCAGAAAAATCTCCTACCGAGGAGAAGAAAACACCTCCTGTCCATGTGAAAGTGAAGTCTCCATCAGATACGATTAAATTATCAGAGGCGCTCAAAAGGAAGGAGCAAGAGAAATCACTGTTCGGGGACGATAGTGATAGTGACTGGGAAGGGCTCGATGGAGGTGATTATATGTTCCAACTTATAATCAGTTTTAACTTGTATATCCCCGATAATAATATGCACAAGACACTCCAGTGCTGTCATAAACTTTGGACTTTGACCAAGATTTCTGTGCTAAAGCATATCCCCCATTGAGTACTAATTTAAAACAAAGATATTTTGTGATTATGTGGGCATGGACCCAACGCATATTTTGTGTAATGTTTTGAGCATTTTTTGTCCTCTTTACAAATTCTCGTACAATGTTAATTGAAACTTGCTCTTTGAATTCTGATGTTTTAATGGAGATGCATTTTACAGATGTGTTTGTACCCGAGTGGTCTGGTCTGTGCTATAACTGACAAAATCAGCAATGTTTTATTGGTACACCATGTTGTAGAATTTGGGAAATAATGGTTTTTGATGAAACATTTTGTGATGAAAGTTTAATAGAACTGCATCAACAGAAGTTTGATTTTCTTTTGTTAAATTATGGTTTTATGTTGTAGAAGAGAAAGGTAGATTAAGCGTTGAAGGAAATGAGCTGAGAAAACTCCTGCATCATGGTGAGAAAGGTCGGGTGTCCAATGCCTCAAAACAGGACGTTGAAGAACTGAGGAAAAGAGCAGCTAAGACGTCTTGTAAGTAGGAAGAGTTGCTCCCCTTTGGCTGTCTGTGTTCCTATAGAAATCTTTTAACAGTTATAAACAAGATTGTACGAGTACCCTACCACAGTCCAGTATGCTGGACATCATTGGAGCTGCAGTTTTGCTGACACTACCAATGAAGATTGGGGGGAACACCATCCACTTTCCCTGTCATAGTTATACTCAAAAAGATTGTGAAAACTCCATTTCTCCTTTCCCAAACAGTGTTTATGCTAGCCTTTATCAAAGTTAAGTCCAAAGCAAGCAGTAATATCATAATGAAAGGTACCGTTGAAATATTCTCAGCACATTTTTTTCTCACTGTTTACTAGTGTTGTTCCGATTAATCAATTTAGTCTTCGTCTGGTTGTTTGTTTCTGAAAATCGATTAATCAATCCTTGTTTTCCATGATCGATTATAGCTTGACTAATTTACGTATTAACAAAAAATAAATTTGAATAGGCCTACTGTTATTACCACCAACAGCGAGTTGTTCGTTCTTGGGCAAAAAATAACTTGACCGAACATCTCACACAGCGACGATGCTGACTAGCTAGCCGGTCCACCCGACAACCAATCAGAACTTGCATTTGAATAGAAATGCTGCATGGCTCAGTCAGTGCATGGCAATATGGCAAACCAGGACATTCCGGAGATTAAACGCTACTGATTTAAACATTTAGGAGGTATTGTTTGTCCTTAGCTGGATATAAATAAAACGCTTTGTCGAATGTGTGGGCTATCTCACAAATAAAATGTTAAGTTTGAAGGGGTGTCATCAGGTGAATACCAATCCATCGTGGCATTTCTGAATACTAGATGCAGCTGTGGCAGCATAATTGATATTGCAAACATAATCAATTTCATTTCAAAATACAAATTTTCAATAATTATAAGGTTCTGTCAACAAACTCGTTGTTTTTTGTATGAATGTTGTGTGTTATTAGCGAAATTCTCTAACGGCGGGGTTTCCCTGTTAACGAAAGTGAAAGTAGATTTCGGAAAGTGAATATAAACTTAAATTTCTGAATTTAAGTTCAATTTGATCGATCATTAGTCGATCATCAGTCACTGATTGGAAGTGATGATTGATTAGGAATTTACAAGCGATTCCCAACGCTACTGTTTACATTACATGCTAAATAAACCTGCATAATTTGAAAACCTGTCTATTCCAAACTGAAATGTTGGCATCTTAGATGTTCAGTTTAAACAGGTTTCATTAATGATACTTAGTATTTGATAAGAAGTTATTCATTGTTTTTATGTGACTTTGTTTGATAAAAATTGAATTGTAGAGTTTCAAACATTACTGTTGTTTTCAGGGAAAGATCGCAGTCATCAACAGCCGGAAGTGACCAGTAAGATTGGCACACCAGTTACGAAGTCCAGTAAGGAGAATGACGTGCCCTCTGTTACAGATCCATCCTCGGGTATACGTTTGATGTAAGTGTAATATGTAATGAGTTAGTTCGCTTAAGTCCTGGCTCTGTAGTGAAAAAAAAAGAAAACCAGAAAAGTAAAATTAAATTTTAAAAAACACCGAAGATGGCAACCTCAAACTGACAGGTATGTGACATCTTTCTTTAGTTTTTCTTGTGATGTTATAATTACACTGGTGAATGATAAAATTTCCACTTTACTGATAACTTGGAATAACTTACTACTTCACAGAAATCCAAAAGTGTCGTCTACAGATATGAAGTACAAAATGGCTGACCGCAACCTGGTCAAAGTGTCACGGATAGCCACTCAAGTTGGTACTTCTAAACTACAGGGAAACTGGGTAACCATAGCAGTGGTGGTCAGTAAGACTGAGTCCCGGACGTCAGCCGCTGTAAGTTACTCTAGAGTTGTAATACTAGTATTGATCAGTAAGACTGAGTCCCGGACATCAGCTGCTGTAAGTTACTCTAGAGTTGTAATACTAGTATTGGTCTGTAAGACTGAGTCCCGGACGTCAGCCTCTGTAAGTAACTCAGAGTTGTAATACTAGTATTGATCAGTAAGACTGAGTCCCGGACGTCAGCCTCTGTAAGTTACTCTAGAGTTGTAATACTAGTATTGGTCTGTAAGACCGGGTCCCGGACGTCAGCTGCTGTAAGTAACCCGGAGTTGTAATACTAGAATTGGTCATTAAGACCGAGTCCCGGGCCCATATTCATGAAACTGTTCTCGTGCTCAAGTAAGGAATTTGTGCTCAAGCCAAATTTCTTGATTTAGTTATAAATTCATATGTTTTTTTCAATGATTTCGAAAAACATTGAAGAGACTTAAAGCTGAAAACTGTTTTAAATGTTTACATTTGACATTTTGATCGTTTGACAAGATTTAACCGGGTTACAAGAAAGTAGGTATAAGCACAGAATCCATGCTTGAGCATGAGAATGGTTTCATGAATACGGGCCCCGGACATCAGCCGCTGTAAGTAACTCAGAGTTGTAATACTAGTATTGGTCAGTAAGACCGAGCCCCGGACGTCAGCCGCTGTAAGTAACTCAGAGTTGTAATACTAGTATTGGTCAGTAAGACCGAGTCCCGGACATCAGCCGCTGTAAGTAACTCATAGTTGTAATACTAGTATTGGTCAGTAAGACCGAGAGTTGTAATACTAGTTTTGGTATGTAAGGCATAGTCCCAGACATCAGATGCTGGAAGTAACTATATGTAGTAGTTATAATTATAGTATTGGTAAGTAAGGCCAAACGAAAAACCATGTTTATTTCCTGTTACATGTCTGAGAAAATTAGGGCAGAAATATAGGTATTTAAACTAATTGTATTATTTATTTTTTCTCCAGTTTTCATAAGGTTTATATTTGAGAGTAATCTTGACCTCAACCATGCTTTCTTGAAAATTGCCAAAAAAGTTAAGGGGAGGCAAAAACAATTAGGATAGGTAGGGTAACCAGAAACATCCAACTCTTTTTTTCTTTCCGGGTCAGACCATCAACAGCTATAAGTAAACAGTACACAATCAACAGTCAGTTACATTAATTTTGGTAGGTAGATTAGGCAATTCATCATAATACAAAATAATTGCAAAACAAAAATTATATTTTGAGAACACCAAGTGTGTATATTTGTCAAAGGTAAGATCTATTTTAGGCAACAAAATAATGTATGTTTCATGTACCCTGGCCGCCCTTGTTATTACCCCCAACTCTATCTCGCTCAAACGCACTTAAATGTCCCAATTGAATGCGTCAAAATTCGTAAGCATCTTTATGACACCTGTCTATTTCATAGGCAGGTTTCCAAATTTAAATCCAATACTATTATTTAAAAAACCTAATAATGTAATAAAATATGAATACAATTCGACTGAATAATTACTATGTTTGGTGATTTTTTGTAATTTCTAAAAAAAGAAAATCTTTACCGACCTACCCTATTTTTTCAGTCATGTTACCTGAAACATTCATATATTTATTTTGGCTTTAAAGATACCATTGCATTACCCTCATTAATTTTTTTTAAATAAGAGCTCCACATAAGAAAACTTGAACAGTTATGATCATCAATAATTAATTTGAAAGATAAAAATGAGGCACATTGCAATTGGTTGCCTGGGTTATTTCATTGAAAAATCTGCTTGACCTTATAGGACTCTTAAAATAAATCACTTTTATGTATGTTTGGGTTTCCTGCCTTTTCCTTCTACGAAAATTATAAATAAAATTCCATGGTTATATCCCCTGAACAAATCCTAGAGGCAAAAGGATTAAACCTAATATTGAAATATTTGACAGGTCATAGGTTGGAGTTGCAAAGTAGCACATAATCTAAACAGAACTGTACTTATAGATCCTGTGTTGCTTTCCAGGGTAAGACTTACTGTATCTGGAAGCTGAGTGACCTGGAGGACTGTGATAAGACCGTCAGTTTCTTCCTGTTTGGTGAGGTATACAAGCAGCACTGGAAGAACTCGGTGGGTACGGTGGCTGGTATCCTAAATCCAAGCATCATGGACAAAGCAGAGAAGGTACAGACACCTAGGGTTCTGCTTCAAGGCATCATAGCTTATGAAAATACATTATAACAAACTAATATTACTCCCTTCCGGTTATTAGCTCACCATCATAAGATAGCTGGCTGTTCAAATCACCCTTCGCCATGGTCTTCTCCGTCTGTCTGTCAATAGTTAATACTAGTTGATAGTTATCAATTTATTTATATATATCTGTATATACTTATAAGTATTATATATATATATATAATATTTGGCTTGGGGAAATAAAATATTTGGAAAAAAAAAAAAAGTTATTACTATATCTCAGCAAGAACTACAGTGTATATGTATCTTTCTAAAATATTATATACAGTTCTCCATGATCTGTAGTTATGCTTATTCCATTTGGGGTCTGTTTGAAAAAAAAAATGGCTAACATTTTGTTCTTTCTTTTACACATGCTGTTTTAGTAAATAGATTAAACAACAACCGTATAATCAATTGGAAAGACAAGTCAAACACAGTTGTGTAAAGCTTTTATAAAAAAATGTCACAAGATTCATCTACTGTTGACATGACTATCAACCCAACAGACAAGAGAAAAGAAGAGACTAAATCTAACTTACATAGAACTGATGAAGATTAGATGGTGGGCCCTCTGTTTTCATAGAACTGATGAAGATTAGATGGTGGGCCCTCTGTTTACATAGAACTGATGAAGATTAGATGGTGGGCCCTCTGTTTACATAAAACTGATGAAGATTAGATGGTGGGCCCTCTGTTTAAACTGACATTTTACAGCTGTATTAAAAAACTATCAGGATATGGAGCATAGCCCCAGGTTCTTGTATAATTAATTATTAGACAATGTTACAAACTACTACTCAAATGTTACACATGGTGACTCTGGATCCTGGTTGCTTTCTTCAGCTTTTACCATGATCAGAAGGGGGGGAGGGGGGGGTCAGGTTAATCTGCAGATTCCATACTTTTTGAAATTTCCTTGGGGGAGATTACGCATGCCCAGAATTAATAGCATAACTAAAATGTGTGTATGTACACCCTAGGGAAAAACAACACTTTTAAATGGCATCTTTTGAGCTGTTCTTTCAGATGAAATCATTAGATGTTAGAATATAGGAATAGTTTAGCAAATTCACTGGTTGAAAATGCTCAAATTTAGGGTCCGAAATCGAGTCTCCCTCCAAAATTGGGAGAGCTGGCAAGTATGAGATTCAGTGAGATTTTCATTGTGTAAGCCAATCCATGTGGGTTCAATTTAGTACCTCACATTGATATATTGTAACTAAAATGATTGGAAAGGTTAGATTCCATGTCAGTAATAAGTGATGGCTTTGTTGTACAGGTTCAACAGGACTTGGCATTTACTGTGAACCATCCCCAACAGCTGCTGGTGATGGGCCAGTCTAAGGACCTGGGGCGCTGTACTGGGGTCAGCAAGGCGGGCAAACCCTGCACCAAGTTTATCAACAAGTAAGATACAGTGTTTGTACTGATGCTTTCCACATCATTAGCTCGTCTGCCTTGGGGCAAGTGAGGTTATGCCGTGTCACTGACGTTCAAGAATGGCTGCATAGATATTGACTTCTTGTATTAATTTTTTTTGGGGGGGAAATATATTTTTATCTTTGGTTTATTTTGCTGTAAAATCAGGAGAGTTAGCAAATCATAGTGTTTTCCATAATTCCATGATTAGAGCATTAAAAATACAAGTTTCTGTCCTTAAATACTATAAATATTATTACCCGGTATCTGTGTGTAAATAAGATCATTGTTTGTGTTAAAATATTGCTAATAAGATGAGTGTTTGTAAGAAGAATGTTTATGTTACAGACAACATGGCGACAGGTGTACGTACCATGTACAGTCTGCCTACAAGAAGACGTCGTCACACCGCTCAGAGCTCCAGGGCAGGTATGTGTCACCAACACCTACTGGGTACATACAACTACCTACCTACAAACACCTAAACACCTACCTCATACCTGCCAACCCCCGATATACTGAAAGAGGGTGATGACCCTCTTTTGAAAATAAAAAAGGGGTCATAGCGTGCGGCGTCTTTTTTTCACAATAAATATAAGAAAAGTAGATATTTAATTAGAACTTTAATATTTTAATGATGTCAAAGGTACATTCTACATTCATTGAACTGTCCTTCCAGCAGATCTAACTGATCCTCATCCACAATACCAAATTTAAAGCTGAAAAATAAAAAGATTTGTTACCAACACAACTTATAAAATTAATTCATGTTAATCTATATGATACTGTATTTTAACAGGGATTTTTTACTGTCAATTAAAATGGTCCTGACAATAAGATGTCACATTCTGCGTGTGAAGTTATAAAAACAGGTGAAGGGCTAAAATCCTGAGTGTAACCCGACGAAATCGGGTCACTCCTACCTACCGACAATTCCTACCTACATATAACTCCTCTCTAAATACAGCTCTTATTCATTTACAACTTCAATGTACAACTATATCACTTATAGATATATACAACTCCAATGTACAACTCCTATCAACATACAACTCCTACCTCCATAAAAATTCCTACCATATATACAACTCCTATCAACATACAACTCGATTATGGAATATTCACTGACAATATCATTGTATTTCGCAGATACTTTTGATTTTACTTAAAGCCATTACAATAGGTGCTGGAATATTATCAAAATGTATTTGATGTAAAAGTTGTATTTTGCTTGGTTGGCCATTTCTGTTTTTATACCCCTGCAAATGAAGTAAGTAATCATTGATACTTATGTTTTAATAAACTGTCTGTATCAGTTTCACAGGTATGACACCGAAAGCACACGCATGGAACCAAAACAAGAAAATATCAAGTTCCTTTTTCTTTTACCAAGGAGAGACTTTTACAGATTTGAGGTATTATTCCATTTGTCTGTTTTATACTGGTGTCTTTGTCTTTGATTTATTATGGTTTTTAGATTATTTGCTACATAAGCTAGATGGTCAGGGTATAACATCATCCTCATAGAGTGTTAAGACACAGAACTACAGTGAACAACTAATTAAGCTGTGTGGGAAACGTTTAGTGTACTAAACGATTGGGTACTCCTTTCCTGACAAATGATGAATGCAGTATATTGTTGCTGACTAGCTGTTCTGAGCAAATAAATACTGAAATCAACAATGAAAAGAATTAGCATATGTAACATGGTCAAGCGGGAAAAAGAGAATGTGATATAGTTAAAAATTTGTAAAATATTCAGCCTTTTACAAAAAATGGTCTGTTTAAGAAAAAGCTATGGGGAGTGACCTTAAAAAAGATTGTCATATATGTGATATGGGGCCTGCACATAATATGCAAAATAGAACAAGTAAAATATATACAACAGAAATGTCAGTATATATTTGTTTCAGAAGTGTTTACCACACTAGATTTTTCACCCTTTTTTACCTTATATACCTGTTCTTGTTTTTTCTCATACATTGATCCAGATCTTTTTAAAGCATTTATTTGTTAATAGCTGACCTTAGGCATGCTGATCTAAAACACTTTGTAGAAGATATGGCCAAGATTGTGTAAAATCATCATTTCAATCTCCTTTTTAAGATTAGGTTGAAAATATATTTTAGAATCTATAAGATTTTAATTGTTTATACACACGTGCCCTTTAGTAATATACAGACTTCTTCATGGAATTTTTAATCAGCAGTCATTTATAAGTAGGAGGCCAGTAGTCCAGTGGTAGGATGCCGGGCTCGTGACCGAAGGGTTGCGGGTTCGCGAAACAACACGGCAATGTGTTGTATCTTTGAGCAAGATACTTTACTCGGCTTGTTCCAGTCTACTCAGCTTTAAATGAGTACGTGGTTGGGCAGTGCTAGAATTGTTGAAATGGCAGCTCCGGCTGTATGCTCCCCAGGGAGTTGAGAAATGTATTGACTGGTTGCAAAGGCCCTATAACCACGGATAATTGTTTGTGAACCCCTTTGAGACAACCTACGAATTAGGTTGTGATAAAGCGGTATATAAGAACCTTCAATTATTATTATTAAGTAACTTTACTTCAGACCTCCAGCAAATAAGAATGACAAAGTGACGCTGAACAAACTGTCAGAGAAACAAGCGGTTCAAGGTAAAGGGAAGGTGACCACTATGTCACTACACAATCTGGAGCCAGAGGACCAGAAGCGGCTCAAGGACCTCAAGGATAACAAGAGTGAATTGTAAGTGTGACATCCACCATGACATAGATACACTCAGATTACCTCCCTTTGTTGTAACAGCTACCACACAACAATTTTCTTTTTATGCTTTTGTTATGATAAGTCAATAATATTTCTTTATGTTATCATTTTAGTGTGGATTGTTTCAATGTGACTATGTTTTGGAATATCAGTCTGGATTATAATATATTTGACTTCTTCAGTCTGCACTATTAATTTCAGTTTGAATATTTCAGCCTGCACTATTTCAGTGTCTTACTGTTTCAGTGTGCGACTGTCAATTTATGATTATTGTGAAACCATTTCAGTGTCGACTTGCTGACAACCCCCTCAGTGGGTGCCATGAACTTTGTCAAACACTTAGTCAAAGAGGAAAAATATGTTAAAGGTAAGCTTGTATAATTAAGAAGTTATAGAGGAAAATATGTTAAAGGTAAGCTTGTATAATTAAAAAGGTTAGCAGACAAAAGTTCTTGTTTATGTAGAATTATTTTAACCAAACACTTAGCTTCCGAGTTGATTACAACATGATTTGTCGACAAATTTACTATATATTTTCACTGTAGTATGTGGTAACATCAGCGTTTACATAGGATGAATCTTTGGTGGTCATTGGTCAGAGTAAAAGGAGTGGTATATGTCTAGCTGAGACCCAGCTCACATTGTTTATATCCACCGCTCAGCAAAGTACACAGAGGATATAGAAACAGATTCTGTCCATCCATCCGTGCACACATTATGAACAAAACATCAAGTCCATTTCTGGGATACTATAAGTGCCACACATATAATACTTGCATGATGCAGCTAGGGTCGCTCTACTGAACGATTGTGGAATCAAAACAGGATGCTGAATTTGGTCTACAATTTAAGGTAATAGGTTTGTGTCACCATTTCTCAGTAGAATTTCTTCAAATTTTGTAGTTATATTGCTTTGAAGTAAAGAAAATTTTCTGCCACAAACAAAATATAGGTTGTCAGAATATTAAGGATTTTAAATGGAAATTTATGTAAATAGGCGTGAATTTTGGAGAGAAAAAATAAAGACACAATTTTTTGCAAAATAATGTCAATAAAAATGATACTGCCATAGATTAGTATTGCATTAATGTATATCAATTTAATAAATGCTGAAATTATGTAAAATAAATTATCTATAAACGATTAAAAATTGACATTTTATAATAATAGTAATTGCATGTAAGTGTTATCTGTCTTGAAAAACTTCACAGTAGTGAAATAGGTAGCCAGTTTCCTGAAGTACAGAAAAAACCATGTGACTCTCTGATTAAAAACAACTGAATTAATGCCTGCATTGCTTTGAAATACTTTAATATTGAGAGAACACACTGTTCTATCAATACTAAACATTCAACTAGGGATGTACATGCACTTCCTATTTCCGTTTATCAATACACTCATTCGACCTTAATGCTTAAGTGACTATTATTATCATTGCCTCATATATCACATAACTGTACATGTTAAGTCCATATGTGGGTAAATGGTAACCTTCAACACTACATGCATAGTACTTGGTGATTTTCTCATGACTTTCCTCATATATCCTGTTCAGAAGAATCATTAAGTCCATATCTTGGTAATTACATAATTGCTACATCGAAACTAATATCAAAGTTTTACTTTATACACAAACAATGTAGGTATTAAACATGTCACTATGTTTCAAGACCGACCGGTCCCTTCGTCAAACTATGACTGAATGAGCTCACAGCTCATATTACATATTTTCAGACTGATGAATCTTACTGAATACATCGTAACTATACAAATTTAATGTTGTAATCTAAGCATGTTCGTCATCATTTTGGAGCACTACTTATATTTGCACTATTGCTTTACACGAATATTGACAATATAAATTAATGTGTCACTCTGAACCAATCACAACTGTTCTGTATGCTACATGGTAACTTAGACATCTTTTCCTGGCTTGTCTACAGAGTGAGGGATTTTGATGGCAGCATTTTCTTGTTACTTCTTAATCATAATCTTAAAATTTCTACGGTACAGACACTGGTGGGAACAATGCGTTAATTCAGTCTATCACACCGAAGGAACTGTTGCAGCAGCATAAGCTGGCAGCGAAGGAGAGGAAGCGACAACTGGCCCAGGGTCGCACCCTCAACCCTCTGGAAGCTGTCCCGACTCTAGGCAAGGGGTTCTCACCAGGCAGTGATATCTCACTGGAGGTCTCATTTCCGCGAGGAAAATCAGTGGGGATCAAAATGGACCTTGCCAAGGTAAATAACCTGTTCTATAACCAAAGAAGGTATTTCTAGTCCAGTTCATCTGCCATTTTTATCACCTGTGGAGATAAAGGCAAAGTCCAAGTTATCCATCTGTTTAACCTGTCAACATCAACAAAACCAAGGTAGATCCATTAGGCAAAACAAAGTATTTGTCAATTAGGAGTGTGTATATTCGCCTATTTCAATGTAGTGACGACATGAGGAACACAAATAGAGAGAAGCTTCAACAAGGCGATGCATATTTATAACACAAACAATGCTTTCAAAGATTTCATTGTCATGCTGGTACTTTAAGGTAAAAACCCTCTCTGATACTGTTTTTTTTTGTTTAAAATTATATGTTATTTTTCTCTGTACTGTTTTTTGAAACATCAATGCTGCCAGAAGTTTGAGATTTGTATGGTTTATACAGATTCCGACAGGCAAAAATTCCTGATTAATTAAGATTGTCAGCAGTAGCAATGCATGATAATGGATCACAATACCTGAAACTTTCATTGCTTGAATAATTCTACAGATGATTGACAGTAGAACACCTGCTGTCATTAGGTATTATTTTCATAAACATTACAGTGTAAGGATCACTCCCTTCCAATTGTCATTAATAATCAGGAGATAAAATATTGTTTCTGTCTGGTTATTATATGATATATTTTTATTTCAGCATGGTTATTTTCCATTGTTACTTGTAACAGGTTTGAGTAGAGGGTAATTAAATATAAACACTCTTTCTTGCCATAAAATGTATATAAAAAGGGGAGATAACTCATGACAAAACTGCTTCACAAACCCAATTGATTTATAGTGCAGCCACCCTGGGCTGACACACCTGTATATTGTAACTTATAAGCAGCAATCTTTCTCCATTCATACTGCAGGTTACATTACAGATGTAGAAGCTGTTGATGAGTGAGAACCCTAAACTCAATGTAACATGAAAATTGTTTGATGTATTTGGTGTAGCCACATTATAACATACATGAGCCTGTCATTGGGCCCTGGCTGCCTGTGGGCGTCCCATTACGGAGGCTCAGATTGTACATCTTTAGACACTAGAGTACAAGGATGGATGTCCATGGCGATTTGCCACACTGACTTAGATCTCTAATAAAACATATTTACTGTTGATTTCTTCATCTAATAACAGCTAATGTTTGATCAAAATGGTTGGAAGGATTGTGGTTTGATCCTCTGAGGTAACATTCTCCTGAAGGGGCTTCTATTAAATTTGTTGGCAGTTTGCTTGCAGCATTTTAGCTTATATTCCAGTAATGATTTAATTAGCAGAGTGGCGTTAGAGTTCTGTAACAGTGAGCCACTCCTAGTGACGTTAATTTGTGAGCGATCTGTGTCATTCACTGACCCACCAAGTCTCGTTACCTCTCAAAGCATCAATGATAAATAATCATTACATTGCCGTTCAGTTTTCTTGATATCTTTTGAGAAATGGTTAATGGTCACAGCACTCTGTGTGTGTACAGTTTCCACCACAATTCAATTGGGAACAGCAGCAAAATACCAGATAGTGAGGTCTTCTCATTCATAAAGTGAAGGAAGTGATTTGTGAATGGGAAACTGGCTCTCACTTTGCATTATTGCAGCTCTAGGCTCCCTAGCCACTTTATCAATCAATATATATTTTTGTTTCCATGAAGACTGATGGCTTGTCGGATAGGAAACGTCTGAGAGTGTGTGACATTTATTACTGTAGCGAGTCCTGTTCGTCAAATCAAAGCCTAACCAGGAAGTTTTCATTGTGTAAAAAGCGTGTTTAAGAGGAAATTCTGTTATAACATACAGAAAGAAATTATAGGAGTGTTGTCTGGGATACAGGATGATTTTTTAAATTTTATTTAGCGTCATAAATTTGTGATAGAAAATAGCAAAGACTGAGGGGAGGGAATTAGGAAACAGCTACAGCGTAATATGTCAGTAAACAAAACCAGTTTCAGAATAAAAACGTTTCCTAATGTCACAAGATCAATTTCATAGAGATATATTTACCGAAACCAGATGTTCTGGTTTACACATGTTCTTAAACTGATATTCAAGTATGGATACGTTAATATTTTTTTAATTTTTTTTTTAATAGTTTTAAACTAGGGCAATCCAACCCAATACAACTTGTGCTCTGCAGTATTTCAGGTCTTAATGAAGCAGGATTCGAAGTAATAATAGTTCCTATTAATTATATGAATAATAGCGCCAGGCCAGGGTATTGAGGGAGAGGCACAATTTCCAATTTCCATTTTTCTAAAAACAAATGTTACACCAAATATGAAATATTTTAACAGCTGTAAAATCACTAAAAAAATGGACAACTAATAAATATCACCAGTATTGAGGAGAATTTGGGGTTTAGATCAAAAGCCATATTTTCAGTTTCATGTACATAAAGGGGATCAAAATCAGGATATGAATTACAAAAAATAATTGATGAAAATTCAGACAATTTGTATTAATATTGATTTGAAAATCAAAGGTTACAACTTGTAAACTGATCAGGCTTTCAACAGCAGGCCCAGATTGCTTATTCACAGAGTAGTTATAAGAGTGATTTACTGTTTCAGAAAAAAGCCATTGCCAAGATCCACGTGAGTGGGGGAATCAATAAGGATGACCCAAATGCTGTCAAGAAGAAAATTCGCTCACCTGAATCCAATACCCAGGTCAGGAAGAGGGTTGCAGAAAATATGGGTAGGGCAACATTTTAAAACTTGTACAGGTTTTGAGAAGAAATTTCCTATTGTATATAGTGTCTTCTTGTGAAACACTTTTTTTGCAATAATGTGAAATATTCAACAGATATACCAACTGTCAATCATGTTGGTCAGAACGAACAAAAAACTGTCCATAATACATTTCTCCTATCTGTTACTGCCAATTTAAACAGTGTCCACTTAAAGTTTTTAAGGAAAAGTTCACAAAGGACAGCTTCATTTTGAAAAAGGGGGAAACATTCTCCATGGGAAGTAACCTAACCATGGTGTGCGTTACATCCAAGGGTGCATTTGTACAGTCGGTCCCATCCTCTCATCACATCCTAATTCTGTGTCATCATTCTAGTGACTTCATTTCTTGAGAGATTTTGATCAAACGTAATACAATGGTGAAGTAAGAGTATGTTTTTCTGAGTTCAAATGTCAAACCGACACTAATTGGCAAGGTAGCAGGAGCACAAGATTGTGTTACAACTTGTTAAAATGAGTAAACAAGGTATGTGCTGTGAAATCACAAAAAACATTTCCACGGACCTAGGAATGGAGACAGTAGGCAAAGATATTTTAATAGCATCTCGGAATGTTTTTTTTTTTGTTTCTAGCAAATTAAAACACTGAGAAAAAACATTTGAGTCATTTTCCACTATATATCTTTTTTAGCTCACCTGGCCCGAAGGGCCAAGTGAGCTTATGCAATGGTGCAGCGTCCGTCGTCCGTCCGTCCGTCCGTCCGTCCGTCGTCTGTCGTCCGGTGTCAATATTTTACTTTAAACAACTTCTTCTAAATAACCAAAAGGCCTAGGGTGATGAAATTTGGCCAGAAGCAAACAAGGATGAAGGGCTACCAAGTTTGTTCAAATAAATGACCTTCACCTATTTTCAAGGTCACAGGGGTCATATATGTTAAAAACTTTAAACAACTTCTTCTGAATAACCAAAATGCCCAGAGTGATGATTTTTGGCAAGTAGCATGCTGGGATGAAGGGCTACCAAGTTTGTTCAAATGAATAACCTTCATCCATTTTCAAGGTCACAGGGTTCAATTGTCTTAAAAAATCTTTATACAACTTCTTCTGAATAACTAAGAGGCCTAGGCTAATGATATTTGGCCAGTAACATGCTAGAATGAAGGGCTACCAAGTTTGTTCAAATGAATGACCTTTACATATATTCAAGCTCACAGGGGTCAAATATGTTAAAAACCTTTAAACAACTTCTTCTCAATAACCAAAAAGGCCTAGGATGATGCTATTTGGCCAGTAGCATGCTGTGATGAAGGGTTACCAAGTTTGTTCAAATGAATGACCTTGACTTATATTCAAGGTAACAGGGGTCAAATATGTTTAAAACCTTTAAACAACTTCTTCTCAATAACTAAGAGGCTTAGGATTATGATATTTGGCCAGTAGCATGCTGGGATGAAGGTATACCGATTTTGTTCAAATGAATGACCTTTACTTATATTCAAGCTCACAGGGGTCAAATATGTTAAAAACCTTTAAACAACTTCTTCTCAATAACCAAAAAGGCCTAGGATGATGCTATTTGGCCAGTAGCATGCTGTGATGAAGGGCTACCAAGTTTGTTCGAATGAATGACCTTGACTTATATTCAAGGTTACAGAGGTCAAATATGTTAAAAACCCTTAAACAACTTCTTCTGAATAACTAAGAGGCCTAAGGTTAAGGTATTTGACCAGTAGCATGCTGGGATGAAGGGCTACTTAGTTTGTTCAAATGGATGACCTTGACTTGTATTCAAGGTCACAGTGGTCAAATATGTTAAAAACCTTTAAACAACTTCTTTTGAATAACTAAGAGGCATAGGGTTAGGATATTTGGCAAGTAGCATGCTGTGATTAAGGGCTACCAAGTTTGTTCAAATAAATGACTTTCGTCCATTTTCAAGATCACAGGGGTCAATTGTCTGAACAAATCTTTAAACAGTTTCTTCTGAATAACTAAGAAGCCTAGGATAATGATATTTGGCCAGTAACATGCCAGGATGAAGGTATACCAAGTTTGTTCAAATGAATGACCTTTACTTATTTTCAAGGGCACAGGGGTCAAATATGTTTAAAACCTTTAAACAACTTCTTCTCAATAACCGAAAGTCTTAAGGATGATGATGTTTGGCCAGTAGCATGTTCAAATGAATGATCTTTACTTATATTCAAGGTCACTGGGGTCAATATATTTTTAAATCTTTAAATGACTTGTTCTGTATAACCAATAGGTCCCGGGTTATGATATTTTGCCGAAAGCATGCTGGGTTGGAAGACTTTAAGCTCTGTTCAACCTAATGTCCTTGTTGGACATTCAAGGTCACAGGCGTCATATGTTTAAATCTTTTAATAGGTTCTTATGAATCAAACACTGATATTCTGCCTGTAGCTGTATTTTCGTCCACTTTTAAGATTACAAGTGTGAGATTAATACCAGGGGAGCGATTCAGGCCCATTGGGCCTCTTGTTTTTGTTGAAACATTGATTATTCTAAAATATGCCCTGCCTTAAATAGGGAGAGAGCATATGTGCTTTAAACAAAAAACAAAAAAACATGTCCTTATCTCCATGTCTGTTTATCTAACTTTGGCATCAGGTCTCTACCGCCTTCACTTTTACATTTAATTGTGATAAAAATCATTAAAAAAATCATTAAAAGTATATATATAACACTGATGCTTTGAAAGGGTTCATATTCCAGGGTTGTTGATCTAAAAGTCAAATTATTATTCTGACTTGGATTAAAATGTTAACAACTATTTGAGTCACAAACGCCTTAAATAAGTGTATATTTCAGGGTCCTGGATCAAAGGAAAAGATTCAATGTTGCTACATGGATAAACAAAAAAATACTTCGGCTTTGTTTTCTTGTTGATTTGTACCAAGTTCACTAATGTTACATTCACATACCCCGGTTGAAACGGTTCAGGTGACACAGAAATATTCCAGGATAAACAAACGCATTTGGACCGAACCATAGGCAGAGCTAAAACAATGCAAAGTTTCGCTGAATAAATTTATAACAATATATCAAGAATAATATGTCCTTCATACATACGTCCACTAAATTATATAACATATCTTAAAATCTGCAAGTGGCATGGCTCGACCTTGTTTTATAACTAGCAATAGTCAGCACATTAGTTTCGGTCAGGAACGTCTTGGCCCCTCAATCTACACGTGCCGAATATTCCTGAGGTCAACCTCAGTTCAGATCTGCGCCTGTCGTTTTTCTTTCAGGTTCAACCGTATCAACTGGTTGAACCAGTTACGTGAAAGGGGCCTAACACTTCAAAGTTTCAAATGAAGAGTTATGGATTCAGGTCACTTTCTATTTGTTGTTGTGCTCCTGTATTGTAGTTTCATGTCTTACAGATGATATGTACATGTAGTTCTATCAACCCTTTCACCACTGGGGACCATAATGGACTAGTCCAGATCAATACATGGTAGAGTTTGCTAAAGTGATATAGGGTTGAAAGGGTTAAATGTGACATTTTATCTCGGACAAAGGGTTAAATGAAACAGATTTTTTCTCAGACAATTTTGTGTTTCAGGGTGCTAAACCCAAATTTGATCAGCAGAAGGAGTGGAGCGAATGTGGGCATATGTGTTTTCCCACAGAAGTCTACTTATCAGTAATTATTGATACCTAATACATTTATCATCATTTTTGCCATTTTGTTTTTTGTAGATTCCACTGACAAAGCAAAAGATGGTAGTTGTATCCAGGAGCCGCCTAGAAAACGCTCCAAACTTCTAGGGAATATAGATGTGAACTCAGAGGAGTTCAAACAATTGATGAAAGTACGCTCAAAGCACAAGGGCGCCTTGGCTGAGGTATATTACTACATCTAATTTTAAATACAGTTTTGGCACAAGTTGACCATAATTGAAAATCTGATTACATGAAGTTTCAATGGCATGTTAATGAAATTTACATAACAGTACTGAGGTAGTTGTATCTCAGATACGGATCTAGGTTTTCAACAATACAAACTACATACGTAGATACTTTTTGAAGAGAATTACATCAGTATGGGCATCGCGGTGGCCGAGTGGTTAAGGCGTCTGACATTCTGCTACCACTAGCCCTCCACCACTGGGTCGCGGGTTCGAGGCCTACGTGGGGCAGTCGCCAAGTACTGGTCGTAGGTTGTTGTTTTTCTCTGGGAACTCCGGCTTTCCTCCACCACCAAAACCTGGCACGTCCTTAAATGACCATAGCTGTTAATAGGACATAAAACACAAACAAACCAACCATCAGTTAATCAAATAGACCTGTAATGATATACTTTCTGACAATACAAGAAAAATTGTATATGAATTTTAAATACATGACACATGATACAATACATATTGAGATATGTGAAAGTAAATAACAAAACATAGAAAAACACAAAATCTTTTCATCCAGATTTTAATGACTTCAAACTTTACAGTTAACACCTGCAAATAAGATTTTTTGAAGCGACATCCTCCTGATTCCAACATTGATTTGAATCATTAATTTTCTGCAATTGAATGCAGTCTTGTGTTTACTGCATAAATTTGCAAAATAACCCCATTAGCCTTAATTGCCAATGCTCTGACACAATTAAAGCAGTGGAGCCGAAATATTCCACTTCACTGGGTTTAGATGTTGTGGAAGAAATAGCTACATCACCTGGCTTTCAAATTTCTGTATTGATATGACATGAGTTTTCAGATTTATTGAATTTAAAAATTTATAATTTTTTTAATTTTAGATTCACTGCCATAAAATCATAACACATGCTGCTAGCTTCTAGTTTTGTGGGGTTCTTTGAAAGGGGTCTCAAATAAATGTTAAAATCAGTTGCCAAAAATTTAAATTAATCAAAGTCATAGGCTGTCAAAATTTCCTGTTTTACAGAACACTGAATGTGTAATATTACCTGGTAGACCTTATATACCATGATGTAGCATTATTCTGGTACCTGAATGGCTGTATAGCAGAGAGATCTAACGCCCATATAGCTACAATAGGTGCCAACATGATACTTGTCAGTCTGAAAGCAAATTCACTTGCATGAACATAACCAATCCTAACAAATCATAATTTAGCAATGAATATTTGATACTTGTCAGTCTGAAAGCAAATTCACTTGCATGAACATAACCAATCCAAACAAATCATAATTTAGCAATGAATATTTGAGCTTATGTCATGGAGCGGCATCCATCTGTCAATATTTTCCTTTAAAACGCTACTAGTCCTGAACGCCCATGTAGATTTTGACTGAATATGGTCTGGAGCATCCTTAGGCCAAAAACACTGATTTTTGTGTAAACGGTGTGTGTCTCAAAAGAGGAATTTGAGGTTTAAATTTCAAAATCCTTCTCTTTCTGTACCATTGGAGGGATTTTATGTAATGAGAATAATTTCCCACGGTTGCTTTATTATCCAGGTGAGCGATACAGACTACAGGCCCTTTGGGCCTCTTGTTTTTGTTATCATATTTAACCTCACAGGTGTCTCTAGAAAATAAGAATTATCATAAAACTTTCAGAAATTCTCAAACCTGGGATACCTTGACCAGAGAGAGCAATAGGGTACTTATTAGGTCAAATATGACAGGTGAAATCTGGGTTTAAATGCTCTTGGTGAATGGTATGAATCGGTGATAGGGATATATCCAGTGTTAAGTGGTAAAAGGGGTATTTCCTGATAGTCCTTTGTATCACTCCATTCTTTATACTGAACTGATACAGGTGGAAGCTGAACATGAGGAGAGGTATTTCATGGCGATGGAGAAGAAAGAAAAATATGAGGACAAGATGTCCTCAATTATGGAAATGAAATGTAAAGTATTCACTTGTGTTCAGGTAAGTGTTTCATGTAGTGTTACAGTTCATCAGTGTTGGATCATCTACCAGCTATTTGTGATTGGTAGTGGTATAATATACCAGTATTTGAGTTTGGTAGTGGTATAATATACCAGTATTTTATTTGAGTTTGGTAGTGGTATACTATACCAGTATTTTATTTGAGGTTTGGTAGTGGTATACTTTACCAGTATTGTATTTGAGTTTGGTAGTGGTATACTATACCAGTATTGTATTTGAGTTTGGTAGTGATATAGATATAAAGTGTTTGAGATGGGTTGTGGTGTAATTAGGGCTACAGTGATACACCTACCTCATGATACCATATGTATCACGGTATGATGCTTACGATACAGTATTATCGGGATACACATACCTGCTTAAACGGTCAACTTCATAATAATTGAGTGCAAGATTTTAAAGATTTTTGTCGTAGACTTAAATAATAAATATTTGTTCAGAGAAATTTTGGTGTTATAAAGGGGTTTGGTGATAAATTGAAGGAACCGTATAAAAGAGTTCTTAGAAAAGGAGAAAACGGGACCTAAAACTTTGTTGGCAGTATGTGAGGTGGCAAATGAAACGATACAATTCAGGGGAATGAATTACAACTCTTACATCAGCTAAACTATTTTAGGTGTTTGATTGGCCAATTAGTTTCATCTGATGGTGGGCTTCATCCAGACACATGATATTAAATGAATATCTTTGCTGAAGTACAAATATTATGGCTCCATTTTATTGCATCTAGAAGTTTCTGTAAATAGTGGCTGTAGCCAAGGGTCAGAAATTTATATATTCTTTGAGCGGGACTCGGGGTCCTATTCCCCTGAATTTGAGTTAAATGGATTTGAAAGCTTGTTATTTTCCAGTAAATATTATTATTCTACTGTAAATTGTCCTACACAAGTTACAATTTAATGTACAGACTCTTTGTCATGAATGGCATAACACAGTTTTTGTCCCTACAACAACAGCGCAGTTTGCTTTAATAATTTGATTTTGTTGGCACAAACAAGCAGATGAAAAAGAGATATCTTACATGTCGGCACTAATTACCCAATCATGATATGATTTATACATAAATGATCTATTTATTGTGTATTCTTTTTTCTTTCAGTGTAATTATACAGCATTTAAACCAGGTGACTCATGCAAAGAAAATGGACACACAATAAAGACAGTTGAAACAAAGAAGCGGTTCTTTAAGTGTAAAAAATGTAGCCATCGAGCTACCTCTATTCACAAGTATCCAACTGCACCATGTAGGTAAGTAAAAAAACTACTTTGGAAATCCTTGCAGAACTCAAAAATAAATACAAATGATGTTAAAATAATAAAATCAAATGGTAAAGCCAGGACAAGGCTTAACCCTTTCACCACCGTAGACCATAATGGACTCGCCCCCTTAAATGCATGGTATAGTCTACTAAAGTTACCTAGGGGTGAAAGGGTTAATGCTTATTCATCAACCTTAGCAGTGTGTTATAATAATGTTATAACAATAATATTAAATATATCATATACAATTACTTTTAAAGTTATTCAATAAAAAAGATGTTATTTTATATCATATTATTTCAATTATTATCGTCAGTTCGTGAAGTTCTTGGAACAGTTAAGTCAGCGTTGTCACAATCAGATTGGTGATGTCACGATTTAGCCCTTTTACCCCTATGTAACTTTAGTAGACTCTACCTTGCATTGTGGATAAGTCCATTATGGTCTACAGTATGTGGTGAAAGGGTTAGTCACATGACCAAGAGACGATGACCAAGAGTTGTTATAATCAACACCAATTGCAATCTTCATGCATTGCAATGGAAGGATGCAGAGCAAATTTATATATATGTATTGGTAATGTGTTTTACACCCCTAATATACTATAAGGGATGTAAGTGTACATAGCCAAGCTCAATCATTATACATTGTTTAAATCTTGTATAATCTTAAACTATGTTAATGTAACAATTTAATTATTCATGATCAGTCTTAATTATCCTTTATACGTTTGTAGCAGCCAGTTCATTTTGTGTGGACAATGTCCGGTCGTAATCTCAGAAACTGTTAGAGTTATATCTTACAATAGATTTTATTTTTGCTATATTGATGGTAAAAGGCATACCTCACAGCCTTGAATAAGTTTTCTGCTTTTTCTAGGTTGAATTGTATAAAATAGCGTGATTTCATTTTACCTCATTAATTTCAGAAACTGTGGAGAACAAAGTTTTGAAAGAACATCTATGTATCAGGTGTGTATACATGTATATATTGTATCAAGTAGGATATTTTAGACAAAGTAAAGATTGTAAGGATAACCTCTGATTGGCTGTATCATATGTGACCTCTTCTGAACAATGCACATTTAATTTGACCTATATTTAGTGACTTCTTTTCATGGCCTTAGTCCCAATATAACTGCCACAGCTATAAATGAAAATTCTGATTAGTAGAGGAGTATAACCAGCAGGTTGGACATTTTTATTTTGCTGAAAACAACAATGAATTACTGTCAAACCTGCTTGAGAGACCACCTCTACTAAGAGACCACCTGTGTTAAGAGACCACTTTAAAAAAAAATGCTCATTGTGGTTATTTTATGTTAGCTGAACCTCTATAATAGGCCACCTCTTATAAGAGACCACTTATGGATTTTACAAAGGTGATCTCTGAACACAGGTTTGACTATTTGGATTAACAAATATAAAAGATAATGTTAACTGGAAAAAGCATTATAGTGCATGTTTCTACGAAACACTATTTCTTAGAAACAACTTAAAACCTTAAGTGTAGAGGGAATTCCTCTCTGTCTGAATTCTGGAATAAAACCACTGCTGATGGAATAAAACCACCACTGCTGATGGAATAAAACCACTGCTGATGGAATAAAACCACTGCTGATGTTAAAGTTAAAACTGTTAACATTACCTGTTGTTGTGGTCCTCATTCTTTAGGCTTCCATCAGTAGGACTCATCACCAATTACTGTGTTTTTAAAGAAATTTAAATAAAGTTGCTTTGTTCTTTCAGGAAAAGAAAATGAAAACACCGTCCGAGGAACTTTGTATACGAGGTGATGAGATCAAATACCTTGGATCTATGCAGGAAAAATCCTTCCTTAACATATAAAATGGTGTGTAATATATATATATATGTGTATAAATTAATCAAATCAGAAATTATTTACAGGCTTATTTCTTGATGACTTATTTCCCTGTAAATTGGTTTATGGACAGTCAGGCTATACATGATTTCTGTACAATATTTGAAGACATTCAAGAAATAAGTAATATCCGTTCATTATTCTCTCGGAAAAGCGTGGTAAAATTTTCAATATAACCCTAAATCATCAACACTATCACAAATGTGATGTTGCTAGAACTAAATGACAGATATGTCATGTTGCAAAAGCCATCAAGAGAAAAGCAATTTTTCTAAAATAATTCAAGGTTGCTTATTTATGGCAGTTTTAAAATAAATCTTCAATATATTCCAAACCCATGTTAGTGTGATCTTCAACAGGGTCCATTAGTTAGGAAATATGTATGGATTAAAGTTTTACATTTTACTGGAACCATATACTGTATATCAGGAAATTTTCGCCGCTGTTTAATTTTCACCTTTTTTTGACATCCGTAATGAGAACAAATTTATCATCACATCAAACATCAGTAAGTGATCTATATAGAATCTTACATGAGTTTCCATTTCATATGAGATTTATGAAACTAGTCTAAATATTTTTCTATTTAGCGAGCCTCTGGCAAGCTAAAATGAAAACATCGTGACAAGTTTCATAAATTTTATATGAAATGAAATCGAGTGCAAGATCCTTTATATCACATAATCAAGATTTGTGGCATTTATTCATGTAAAGCAACAGTTTTCATGCAACCTTAAAATGTAAAAAGCAGCCATTTTGACTCCAGTGCGTAAGTCTGTGAAGTCATGTACTTATCCTAAGGCGTGACGTCACAATTGAAACAATTGAAACTTGCAACCAATCACAGGGCTGATAGGTCATATTACATTTCACTGGATAACATAGTACATTATGTGATAAAATAAAAATAGTATCAGATGTGATGATAGAAATAAACAATGGTCAAAAAATGACAAAAATGGATTTTATCAGTGTCGTGTGAAAATTTGACCCGGGGGAAGTTTACTGGTATGTACTGTGTATGGGGAAACTTTCGCTCAGTTCAACTTTCCCCCTTTACTAGTGAAATCTATATTTGCCCAGTGTTATATAAACCCTTAAGTTTTGACCATTTATAGTATGGTGTGTATCAATATTCCCTCACATGATTAATTTGGTTTTAAAATTGTTTAAAAACTGACTGGTCTCTCTCTAAAGATAAGACTCAAGCATTTGGTTTGATTCAAAGGAGGATGACTGAATAAATACAACTTTTTATGTCGCTGTCATAAAAATAATGTGGAATGAAGGGGACTATTTTCTTCGATTTCAGGTGATGTAAGCAAATGTTGACAGAAGATTGGATAATTATCTACTAATGATATTTTGTGCTGGCACAGATTGTCTTAATTGTTTGTATAAAGAAAAATAATAAAATGTACAATATTTGACTGTGGTTTTTTTAACTCATTAGTCCAATTTTTTTCCTGTTTCCTCTGAAATTTACTCTGTAATTACCCAGTGTTACTACAATACAATACAATACAAATTATTTTATTAAAGTGTCACATGTCAATTTTGCTTAAAATACATACATACAAGCATGGTCTAAAATGTACAACAATATACGATTGACACCCAACCTATACTGAGGCTTACGAGACACTAGGCCTATAGATATTCTTTAATACCACGTAGTTTATCAATAGTAAAAATCAGTTCATAGATATTAAGAAAAAAAAAAAAAGGTTAAGACTTAATATTAAAACCTCATTCTTCTTCCATACATCTTATGAACTGTGCTCGCCTGGACATATTGTAAATTAGGTTCATTCATTAAGACAACAAGTTTCTGTACAGTGTTAAAATAGTTAAAACCTGGTACAATCTGTTTTGCTGTTGTAGAAAGATGAGCTCTTATATCTGAACAAAAATCACATTCAATGAGAAAATGGCATTCGTCTTCATTACAATTTAAATTATAAAATGTACAAAGTCTATTTTCTAAAAGTATTTTAGGGCGAGAATACCGACCAGTTTCAATGCTTAGCTTTAAATTACCACTGCGAAATTTAGCTTATGCCTGTCTATACCTGAAATCCATAATATTTGAGGCATACGTTTCCGTGTAATTACTAGTTTTGTACAATCTGTATGTTCTCAACTTATTGCCGTTATAACAATCACGGTCATTATGTAAATCTATATGCCACTTTTCATTATCCAGTATAGTAAAATGATATTTAACTAATTTCACACTTTGCTTTACCGAGTTTATTGATGAAAGTAAATGTTCCAAATTATTATTTCTCAACAGTTTGATAACTGCGACTGACGGTAAGAGACCAGTTGTGTTGTTTTTTTCAGTAATCTATCATCTTCAGTGAATTTCAAATTTAACCACAGTCTACACACTTCAACCTTTTGGTACACTTCACAGGAGCTCCATCCAAGGTCACCTCGCGCGGAGATATAATTATTAGAGCTTTTTTTCCCTGTTCCTAAATAGAATCTGCAGGCGCGGTTTTGGACAGTTTGAAGGAAACGATAATTATTATGTCCCCATATTGCAGAACCGTAGAATAGAACGGGTTCCACAAGTGACGTGTAGAGTTGTTTGAAGACTGCAAGCGACATCCCTCCCGTGAATTTGGATTTAGTAAATATTGCACCTAGGGCTCTACTTGCCGATTTGGTAAATTCGCGCACTGCTAGCTTCAAATCAAGATGTTCCGTAAACCAGAACCCTAAGTAACGATAGCGATCAATATAAGCAATATCTAAATCACCGCACTTGAATTTAAAACGAGATCGAGGTTTTGAGGGGTTTCTAAAATGCACCACTTTCGTTTTATCCCTGTTAATCGTAAGCCTCCACTTTCTGCACCAATTGTTTAGACATTGCAGCATCCGTTGAAGTGAGAGTTCATCAGTTGCTATTAGGGCAATGTCATCTGCGTACATTAACAGTGAAATCATAGTCATCGTATTTAACACCACACTAGTAATCAGCCTAGTGGTGCATAGAAAAGGGCTGAGATACGTAAGTACAAGACTGACTCACAAATTTTACCTTAAACAGAAAGTAATGATTCCATATATGAATATCATCTGTACTTCATCTAACAAGTAAGACATGCTTTTTGTGTCGCCTGTGAAAATCTGGTGACACATAGGTATTGCTATGTCGGCGGCGTCCGCACAGAGGTTTTCGTGCGATAATTTAAGTTTCCTTGGGCCGATCAAACTCAGACTTCATGTAGTGCTTCCTTACCAAAAGTGCTTGCTTGGGATTGCTTTTCAGGTCCGAAGGTCAAGTTCACTGTTACTATAAAGAGACAATCTGTTTTCGTGCGATAACTTGAGTTTCCTTAGGCCGATCAAACTCAAACTTCATGTAGTGCTTCCTTACCAAAAGTACTTGCTTGGGATTGCTTTTCAGGGCCTAAGGTCAAAGGTCAAGGTCACTGTTACTATAAATAGAAAATCTGTATTGGTGCATAACTTGAGTTTCCTTGGGCCGATCAAACTCAAACTTCATGCAGTGCTTCCTTACCAAAAGTTTTTGGTTGGAGATTGCTTTTCAGGGCCGAAGGTCAAAGGTCAAGGTCACTGTTACTATAAATAGAAAATCTGTATTCGTGCATCACTTGAGTTTCCTTGGGCCGATCAAACTCAAACGTCATGCAGTGCTTCCTTACCAAAAGTGCTTGCTTGGGATTGCTTTTCAGGTCCAAAGGTCAAGGGCACTGTTACTATAAATAGAAACTTCACTAAAACTGTATACTGGACGGCTTCGATCTACCACTTGACCCACCGTGTATACCTCTGAAATGCCGTCTTACTCAAAATGTTATTGACAACACTAGCTATTTAACATCATAATCCACAAGTTTATTTATTTATTTATGGGAAACCATCCGACAAAGCATACAAATTAAACTTGGAATTGAGACAATGAGTATCCATAGCAAGTTCCTTAAAACTCTAGAGTATTCTTCCCAGAATGACAGATTATATAACAAAATGATGCCATCCAAAATCATAATCTATGATTATTGCTTACTTTTAACATTATTTCTTGAAAAGATGATCTTCGCGTGAACTGTTAAGGATTGCCAGACGATGCTGGAGAGCGTTTGAAGAACCTTATGAACCTGGTGAGGGCATACTTCAACTTCAATGTTTTACTCGACAAAAACCATGTATGGTCATCACGTCAAGGGCATACCGTTGTTTCTTTTACATTGAGTACCTGAACGCCATTTGTATTTTTAATATGTAGAAAATACGCGAGCGGAATTCCCATTAACCTGAACGCCACCCAGATCACAGACGATGTCGGTCGTGGTATTAATTAAACATACTATCTCACTGGAGCACACGAGCCCGATAGAGTATCACCGACAAACACCTTTGCATTCAGAGGGTTTGTTAATGAGGTTGCTTTGTTCCAATTTGCTAGACTATTGCAACAATGAAATGATCGAGGACATTCAAGAGTTTCATATTTTATAATAATTCTCGAATGACTTTTGAATGTCTGAGAATTTCTCGGCGATATAAAACATGACCATTTTTGTCGCATGTCACTGTCCAATACATCGCTTATCTTAAAGGATCGTTTCTTCAAATTAAATCCAAAGGTTATCACACTAGAACGCTATCAATCCCAACACCACACGTTTCTGTCATTCAGGATGGACGAACATTTCTGTGTAATTGTGATTTTTTTTTTCAAATGTAGCCAGATTTGACTGAAACATTCCGTTGTATAAATCCAGATATTTAGTGGGGTATTGTTTCTTTTTTTATATTTTATTTTATTTATTTCTCTAAGTTATGTACCATAATTTCGTCTTTATGAGTGGTATTCGGAATCTTTTGTAGTTAATTACCGAATATTTTGATGGATGCAGCGAATCATAATTGTATATTTTATGATGACATGGTATGTCTTCCATTTTCTTGCTCCGATTTTAAGGATGCAACGTCCTTCCCAACCCAACTCAACTTATCACATTTTGCCTTGAAACATCATTAATCAAACAGAAAATGAATACGAAGTACATCCGGAACTTATTGAAAACAAATAGGGTTGGTCATGTCATAAATCGTAGCTAAAGCACGGTTCGGACATAATCCATTGATGTTATTATGAGTTAAACCACCCCCACAGGGACTGGCGGAAAATGATGTAGGTTTGCCGCACGTGCAGGCACCACAGCGCCACCTGTCACAACAGCTGCTAGCGACCTCTGCCAAACCAAGACCGGGATCGACCGCGATTCATTCATGAAATATGTCATAGACAGCACAAACGTAATTGAACAGCCATAATTTCATCAATAAAATCGGTCATGATTCAGTTTGACAAAAGTGAATTAAAACGATGTCAGATAAGTGACTGCCTAATCACGCCTCCCAGCGGTTTGTGCCGCGCAGTAAATCACACGGCAGGCGGATTCTCGAACGCTATGTCCGGTGGACGCTCTATTAGATAGTCATCTTTAACAGTGTCTGTCTTTAACTGCAATCAGCTATAACAACCAGCTCTTTATGGATACAACCTGTATTTACCAACCACCTGTCAATAAATACAAACTCCATATATAGCTACCACCGGTCTATAGATACAAACTGTCCATATAGCTACCACCTGTCTATAGATACAAACCTACCACCGGTCTATAGATACAACCTGTCCATATAGCTACCACCTGCCTATATATACAAACTGTCCATATAGCTACCACCTGTCTATAGAAACAAACTGTATATATATATACCACATGTCTATAGATACAAACTGTTTATATATCTACCACCTGGCTATAGATACAAACTGTCCATATAGCTACCACCTGTCTATAGATGCAGACTGTCTATATAGCTACTATCTGTCTGTATATACAAACTGTCTATATAGCTACTATCTGTCTATATATACAAACTGTCTATATAGCTACTATCTGTCTTTATATACAAACTGACTATATATCTATTATCTGTCAGATTGTCTATTATCTGTCTATATATATATAAACTGTCCATATAGCTACCACCTGTCTATAGATACAAACTGTCCATATAGCTACCACCTGTCTATAGAAATAAACTGTATATATATATACCACCTGTCTATAGATACAAACTGTATATATATCTACCACCTGTCTATAGATACAAACTGTATATATATCTACCACCGGTCTATAGATACAAAATGTCCATATAGCCACCACCTGTCTATAGATACAAACTGTATATATATATCTACCACCTGTCTATATATACAAACTGTCCATATAGCTACCACCTGTCTATAGAAATAAACTGTATATATATATACCACCTGTCTATAGATACAAACTGTATGTATATCTACCACCTGGCTATAGATACAAACTGTCTATATATACAAACTGTCTATATATACAAACTGTCC